TTTTGACTCACCGAAACGACTTGCAGTCAGAGCCGGCCACGTTCCGCTTCAACTCTGTAACAAAAAATTCACATTTGCTCATCAGATTTGACCAACGAGTGCGGGCGAGTAAAAGAGTAGTTTACCCTCTGCGATCGTAATTCAAGTCGAGCCGAAAATTATATCCCAGCTCTAGATCGCCAAGGGTCAAACAGAGGACTATAATAAACTTGTAAACTTACCTTCAAGCCGACTCTGCTTCGCCCGAACCGGATCCTCCGGTGCGGCATCCGCGTCCACCGGATTGCTGTTGCTTTCCGCAACAACTGAAACAGAAAAATAATTTTCCCGGTTGATAACCTGCGGTAGAGAGAGAATATCTTTGATCGGGACCAATCGAAAATATGGATATATTTTGATACGGAATTTTTATCTTTATATTTTTGTTCCAACATTGAAAATTTAAATGGGACTTGAAGCTTTCAAGAGAGCTGATGAGGAACAAGTTACAAAGGCAAAGATCGTAAAGAGTTGAACACAGATGTGTAGGAAACTTGTAAACTTTACCTTCCGGCCGATCCTGCTCTGCCCGAACCGAATCCTCCGGTGCGGCATCCGCGTCCGCCGGATTTGCTTCCCGCAATGTCTGGAACAAAAATTTAGCGTTCTTGGTTGGTAAGCTGCGGTAGAGAAAAAATGGTTGGTCGGGATGAGTGGAGAATATTCGCTACGATTTTTTTTCTTTGACATTGAATGTCTAGATAGGAGCTCTTGAAAGAGCTGACGAAAGAAAATGACAATAAGAAGTGGAGACAACAGTTGTGTGCTCTCGAAAATATTCTTTTACGGATGGACATATAAATTCAGATCCCGTAACAAGAGTAAACAAACTTGAAAGAAGCGCTGACCGAAAACAAAAAAGGTCGCAGTCTAAGAAGCGATATGACGTTGAATATTCTACGCAAGACCAATATTCTCACACAGGAATTGGGAATGATTCAGAATGTTTGATTGAGAACATGATGAATTCGAGATCCACGTCCATGGACCGTTATCCGTCTCTGTCTGGATCAATATCTTTTGTATACAACAACGCAATAAATAGGTAGACAGACAGAGATTGACGAGAGTAATTGCAAATTCATAAAGTGATGATGACTAGTCGGATGATGACGGATTGTGAATGCCGAGCGCGAAATTCCGACTTCTTATTCCCGGAAAATTCGTCAAACGTACGCTCTCGTTATCGGAGACCTCCCGCGTAATAAATGATTCCACATACCTGGAAACGTGACGTATCGCTGCCGGCGTTCTGCTTCTCGACTGCTGAAGTTCTCCGGATTTCACTCGCTCATGCTTCTAATGCTGATACTCGCGATTCGACCGTGCAGTTAATGAATGAGATGCCGACGCGATGCCGATTGAGTATCTCGAGGACCGACGAGATATATTTCTTTTAATTACACGAGACGGAAGTGACGAGAGCGTCGCGCACGGCTGCTGCTGATGGAATGAGGTCGAATACATGCGCGAGTATTATAATACGAAAGGCAAAAAGTGTCGTCGCTCGCGAGCCGATCAACATAATCGGCGCGATATAAACATTGCGGGCCTCGGCGGCGGTTGAAGCAAGAGAGACTTGCCTTTGAGCGTCTCTTGTTTTCTCGAAGGTTTCGGAACGACGAGGGGAATGCGAGGAGGCCTTTTAACTGTACGCGACATTGATGCACTCTATTTATTGATTACTGAAAATAAAGAAAATTATTCTGTCGAAGCATCGGACATTTGTTAGTTTTATGTTAATTAAAGAGAAATGTATACGATTAGGAAATGTGTTAGCAACTAATTGTACAGAGTGTAAGTTGTTTTCAGTGACGCCGTTTTCAGAGAATAATTAAAGGTCATGGTAGCGTTAAAGAATGGAATTTCATCCTATGCGAATTTAGTCGCGCTCTTATTAAATATTAGTCCTGTATAAAATGTCGTATTTAAAAGTATTGTTTCGCATTCACGAGATTTTGTCGTGAATTCTGCTCTTAGATTGGATCGTGGGTGAATACTTTTTAATGCGACGGGGAATAGAACGTGAAAATCTTGTATGCCTCTGAATCCGAAAACGATTAGGAGAAGAAGTGAATATTTTTCAATACGAAAGTTCGCATTTAAAAATTATCGATTGCGATTGAATACAAGGCATATTTGAAACGAATTGAATCCTTGTTAATGCGAAGCATTCACTACTGCCATCTCGCATTTAGCGCGATGAAATTTAATAGGAACTAATACTTTTTATTTTCCCTTTCTTCGGATCAGAAAGCAGAATTCAGACATATTCAAAATGTCAATACTTTTTAATATGTTTCAGTTCGACATTTTATACAGAGAGATTATCCGCTGCGGACAATAACTCTTCTACTTTTCATTTAATATTCAATGATGATAAATAACATTTAATTGCATTCGTTTAGCTTTTTTTTTCGAAAATAAGAAAATATATACCGGGGTGAGATTTTACCCATGACAACATTAACGTGATTTTCTTTGATGCTTTTTTTAAAAGTTCAAATATTTCGTCGACTCGCGGGATATTTATAATCGGAGTCTCGTCATGTTAATTACGTGAATAACACGTGCTCCTCCAAGCGGATCGAATGCTCACCGACGGCCACTGTCAGTGCCATGAGCGAATGTCCGGAGCGGACGGGATGCTGAATTAAAAAACAAGACGAAGTGAACGGGACGCGGACAACGATACATCATGCGTCTCCATACATGTCAAATTGTTTATTATAGAAGAGACTTTGATACGGCAATATATATTCGAAGATTTAACATTTAATACGTACTTTTATTTTTTCTGCTCCTCCCCCCCTCTCCCCCGCTCTTTTTAGACCACCGGCATAGTCTGGCATAGAGATGGCAACTGTCATTGCAGCACGGACATAAACCGCCTGAAAGTGGATGTAGCATGGACTTCCATCATATGCAGATTTTACCACCGAGACCTGAAAGTGGATGTACTATCGTAGTTCCTCTCTCAAAATGGATGCAGATGGCGTCCTTTCCCAGTGCGGAAAGTCGGTGTCGCAGAAAATGTCGTATTGGCCGCTCTCAGGTTAAGCTAAAGCTAAGACTCCATGCATGCGGTGAGCTCCGGCAAACGGCTGCGGTGACCAATCAGGAGACAGACGCATGCCGGAGCTTGCCGCAACCGGACTTGCGCCTCCCTCCTGATTGGTCACCGCAACCGTTTGCCGCAGTTCACCGCATGCATGGAGTCTTAGCTTTAGCTTTACTCTCTGCTTATTGACATTGGAGTTGAGTTAAGCTAAGACTCCATGCATGCGGTGAGCTGCCGGCAAATGGCTGCGATGACCAATCAGGAGGGAGGCGCAAGTCCGGTTGCGGCAAGCTCCGGCATGCGTCTGTCTCCTGATTGGTCACCGCAACCGTTTGCCGCAGCTCACCGCATGCATGGAGTCTTAGCTTTAGACGCGAAATAGGATAGAAAATAATAATCCGCAAAATTGTATTAATTGTGATAAAAAGTAAATTTTAACGGTACGTGGTAATTTTATATAATTATAACTGTTAATAAAGGTAATACTAATAATGATTAATTAAAATTTATTGTTTATTACAATGAATACAATTTTGCGGATTATTACCTTCTATCCTATTTTTCGTCTTACCGTCAACTATCGACTTTCTTAATTCAACTCAATGGCAATAAGACAGCATTGAGTTGTCATGAAGTATGTTGGTAGCAGATGGTTGTACCTATACGTATATTTTATTCTTAGGAAATTTACTTCTAATCAAGTTGTCGTACGCACCCATAGTCGAGTCTCAAGTCAGCACTTAAAGTCAACGGCACGCGGTGCTTGTTTTCGTGCTGGATTGCTTGCTGGATGAAAATATTGCGTTCTGATTGGTGCATTTCCATTCATCTTCGGAAATGTACCAATCAGAACGCAGTATTTTCATCCAGCAAGCAATGCAGCACGAAAATAAGCATCGTGTGCCGTTGGCTTAAAATATATCACAGGGATATCCTATAGATATCTAGACATCTTTGGGATATCCTCATGATATATTTCAAACATTTTTGCTGTGTGAGATGACATTTAAAAATCGCTTTATCTGATTTATTTCTGTATATTTCTTTAAATTCAGTTTTGTTATTATTATATCATTATATATTATATATTATATATTAAACACTACGTGTTACTTTTAATTTAGTTTCATTATTTTCTTTATTTACTTTATGCATTCTCTATTTGTACCTTATATATAATTACTTTCTTATTATCTTATATTTTTAATTTATATGTATTAATTGCTTTCATTTCATTCATTTTCATTATAATATTTACCAAAAATATATAACTCAATTAATTAATAGATCATATAATAATTTAATTTGCGTCAATAATTTGCACAAATATTCGCATTAAGCTCGTTCTATATTAGTCGCAAGTCACAGAATGCAAGTCGCAAGTCGTAGAAATCCACCAATCATAGTCGAATGTTAAGAGAATATTCGACTGTAATTGGTGAATTCCTACGACTTACGACTTGCGTTCTGTGTTTTGGGACTAATGTAGAACGGGCTTTATGTCTTTTTAGAAAGTTCGCAGGCGCAAGAAAACAGAGAGAGAGTGCGCGTACACTTCTTGCTCTGTCTCATTCCCATTATTCGCAGGCGTCAGCCGAAAGATGGTATGCTCTATCTATTCATACCATGTCTATGGATAAACCTAATATAACATAATCTAACCTAACTTAATCTAATTAGTAGCTAACTATTTTTCAACGCCATTGTTATTGTGTAACTGAATTGGTAAGTTGAATATTTGTCCAATAAAATTATAAAAAATTAAAAAAAATTATTGTAAAAGTCTATAACTATGAGAACAAACATACTTTTTATTTGCAGGAAATGATAAGTTTCAATAAATAATTAACTAATATTAATAAATTAATATTTAGTTGAGTGTTTTCTAATTAATATTTTATAATAATAACAAAAAAATGTTAAGTGCAATTTTGAAGCATCCTGTTTCTATAAAAATGTTATTAAGTGATGTACAATTCATCTGTAAAATAACACCATATCTTAGACATGACAAAAATATATTTTCTATGGCATTATCTAGAAAATTTCTAATAAGAAGCACAAGGTAAAATATAATTATATTGTAATACATTTAAGTTTAATGGTATATTTTATAAAAAATATACTTTTAATAATGTTTTAACCATTAATCATCAATGAAATTACTTATTATAACATAGAATGTTTATAAACTATTGTTATTGCTTATATTCATAAGTAAAAATAATTAAATTAAAGAAAGATAGCAGTAGCACTAATAGATACAGTAATATTAAAGCACTAATATAGTTTTAAATTGTAATAATTTGAAAATTAGTTATTTGACTATTTTTATTAAGGAAAAGTAATCCCATATGAATAAAAATATAGTTGACAGAAATAACAATAATTATTGAACATTCTATATATTTTAATGTTCTAACTATTAACAATTTAATAAATATTATATTTCCTCAAATAATATTAATAATGAAAATATAGGTTGTCTAGTGAATCATTACAACGAGCAAGATTCTGTAAAGCTAGTAAATTGTCACAAAGTTTGTCAATACGGCATCAACAAACAATAAAATTAGATGTAAATATAAATGTACAGAACAATGTAATTTTATATAAGAATGACAATCAGAGATACATACGGATATTACATCTTTGTGCGATTGCACAATTACTTGGATGGTTCATATTGGCTATTTATACTTATACACCATCTTTTCTTGATATTTTCTATACTGATGTAACGATGCAAGAATATATGAAAAAGAATATTTTTAGACTTTCATTTTTTACTTTTTCCAGTTTTATAGGTAAGAATTAAATTTTTTCTTTTTCATAGTAAAATTTATATTTTACATAGAATTTATATTTTTATCTCATAGTATATTTAACTTACTATATATATTTATAAATGTATATATTTATAAAAATTTAACAATAGATAAGTTTTCTCTTTATTTTTCTTTTATAAATATATTTATATTTTAACCTTTTGCACTCGGAGCCATCTTGTGGAGATTTACGATGTCCTCTCAGAGGGGATATCTGAATGCATAGAGTTAATATATTAATATTGTTAATATTATATTTTAATATAATCATTTTCTAGGTCCTCTCGCGTATGCTACAATTTATGCTTTATGTAGTCGTACTATTAGGTATATTGTTTTACATAAAGGTGGTGAAAAAATTACACTTACTACCTGTAATATATGGAAAAAGAATTGTAATATACAAGTACCTATAAATATGGTAAGGAATTATATATTATAACAAAATTGAATTATATATTATAACAAAACTTTATATTTAAATGATATAAAAGAAAAACTAGGACCAATTTAATTATAATATTTTACATTGATAATAATATTTATATAAAGACAATTACTGTAGTTTAAAAAATTTTTCTTATTTGAAATATTTTTTTCTCAAGGTAAACTGTACCATCCACAGAACAAATGTGGGAAGTATTATACCTCTTAAACTAAAAGATAAACGTTTCTATTACTTACTTGAAAAAAGTGGTACATTCCTAAATCCTGAACTTTTTGATCATACATTAAGATATCGCCAATATAGAAACTTATAATGTATTCATGTACAACTTTGTATGTTATAAAATATTATAAATATTAAATTTATAAAATTAATATCATGTATTTATAATTCATGCATGAAATATAAATATTTATTTACAAGTATATTTGTTACGAAATATAGATATCATTAATATACTAACATATTAAGTTGTTATAAATTATCATGAAATTAATTCATTAGTACTAAAAAACTAAGATATTATTTTTGATAAAAAATTTTTTTAAAGATTATTTATTGGTACAAGAAATATGAATTTATAATAACAGCGTTTCTTGTAAAAGAAAAGAAAAATGTTAATACAATATCTACACTGCTCAAAAGAATTATGGCATAGATAATTTATTGCCGAAAATTGGCCAACTTTGACTGGCGATTACTTCGCGAAAAATTATTGTAGACTAATAATTTTTTTTCAAAATGAAGGTTGAAGTCTCTACTTTAAAAATATATCTCCATTTTTTACATGCGATGCACCCTTATCCCTATAACCCTTGACATCTGAGGGCATGTTTGGTATACTGAAAATTGCAAAGTTTGACGGAATGCACGGATGTGAACAATTTTTTTTCGGGGACGCCGTGTGTATCGTCATAAAGTTCAAATCTTCCTCTTCAATTTGAAAAAAAAATCGAGTCGCTACAATTTTTTTCGCAAAGTTACAGCCTTTCAAAAATACCGTACGGAGCCGTGAAGAATACGGAGAGAGTTTGTTTGCCGATGCTAGGAATGTTGGCTGTGGTCAAAATACGATCCGGGAGCTGAAAAACATGCGCGCGTGCTTGCGTGCGTATGTCAACAAACATTCTTGTCGTTGCTCCACTATGATTTCCAATCATTTAATCCGTCGGCCGATACTTGACCCGTAAGTAAAAAATAACGATATTTTTGAAGGGCTGTAACTTTGCGAAAAAAAATTGTAGCAACTCCTTTATTTTTCAAATTGAAGGGGAAGATTTGAACTTTATGACGATGCAAACGGCGTCCCCGAAAAAAAATTGTCCACGTCCGTACATTCCGTTAAACTTTGCAATTTTCAGTATACCAAACATGTCCTCAGATGTCAGGGGTTACAGGAGTAGGGGTGCATCGCATGCAAAAAATGGAGATATATTCTTAAAGTAGAGACTTCAAGCTTCATTTTGAAAAAAAATCATTAGTTTACAATAATTTTTCGCGAAGTAATCGCCAGTCAAAGTTGGCCAATTTTCGGCAGTAAGTTATCTATGTCATAATTCTTTTGAGCAGTGTATATATATAGATACATGTAAGTAATATATTTTATTGCACTGAAATTAGTTTGTTTTTCTATTATTTTAAATCTCTTATGAATATAAATTGGCAAAGTAACTGGTATTCCAATTAATCTCAATATTAATTTCCATATTTTAATTAATATCTCTGACTCTGTCTGTCATAATATTTTCCTGAATATTTACTATATCGATCACTATAGCCATCATCCTGATATTTGTCTTCAGCTTTATAATAAACTTCAGGCACTGAACCAACATGACCTTGCCAGTAACGTGTCCAATATAAATCTTCTGGATTGATATCATGTGGATTTTTCGCATTTCTGAATACGTGTACACAATATACGAGACTACCAATTAGTGTCAAAAATCCAAACACCAAGAATACTATTCCTAATATCCTAAAGAAAAGAAATGCGGAAGTTAATATACCCGAGAAAAAAACATGAATTTTGTCTAGGCATAGTTATATATAATCATACATAATTATATATGTCCACAATGAAAAAATGTTGCTATATAAATACAATTGAAATAAATGCTTATACTTCTAACAATACATGATGTCGATGTTTATTTGAATAAAACTATTTCTTGCTTTTTTCACTTAATATCATTCTTGTTCTATGTAGACATATATGATTACATATATGACTATATATATATATATATATATATATAACATATATTAGATAAAATTTACATGTAATTTATATATAATCATATATGATCTTTTCCCGAATGAATATATGTATATATATATATATATATGTATATATACCCAGGAAAGAAATATTTATATAACTTTTTTATAATCAAGATAATTATATCCGTTAATTTAAATTGAGATAATTACTATTAATTAATAACGTTAATTAAAAAAAAAATAGTACATGTAAAACATGTTATGCATATACAAATTTATTGCATGGTGTTCTTACCACACAACTAGTGGCTGGAAAAATTGTATAACGATAACAAAGCCCAGAGTTACTAGAATCAAACCGAGATTGAGGAGTAACATAAGGCAACAAACGCCTTTAGTATTTGGGCAAAAAGGATTAGGCGTTGACATAGTTTCCACAATTATACCGCCTTTCCGTGACATGTGGGTTTTCACTGTCGAAGTACCTGATCTACCAGAACCATAGCTGTAATGACTAGGCGCTCTATGGTCCAATCTAGAGCTAGGTGCTAAGCTATGGCGTGATACTTGGCTGTTCGTAATATAAAATACATATTTTATATTATTAGAGTGTTTATAAGAGCTACGTATATTCAAATCTATATGTATATAGAAATCCACACAAATCCGACACACAATACCTTATGTCGGAAGTAGCCCTGTATGCAGCACTAGTGACATATATATCTGAGCCATTGTCACAAATGCTGCCGTGTGAGGCACTTTTGCGAAGCGGATGTAAACTATTTTTTGAAGATCCAGACAATACCGAATCACGAATATTATGTACGCTTTTAGATCTCCTGTCTTCTTCCCTATCATATTTATCTGCATGATTCTTTCTTATTGGTTTCATCTGTGAAGGAAAACATAATACAAATTAATAAAGTAATGTACTTTCAACTAGAAATAGGAAGCAAACGTCTTAGTAATACGAATACAGAATATAATACCATAGTGGTATGTTCATTAGCAACGATATATTCGGACACAGTGCGATCGGAAGGAGCTCTATGGTTCTCTTCGCTATCCATAATATAATCACGACTCGTATTAACATGATATCCAGGATATCTTGAATTATGCATCTTAGCGCTTATATCTTAGCGTTTATAATGCACTAGCGCGAAAGAAGAGAAGAGAAACATTAAAGAAAAATCTTATATAATTGATCAATATCTGCTTAGCTCATCTAAAACAGAGAAACATACGTTTCTTGTATTATCAATGAGTCTTCTGAATTACAGTCGTTAGAGATTAAAAAAGAAAGACGAAGATTGCACTTACTGCGAACGTGTGTGTGCGATAGAATGTATTTGTTTCTATTTTTACGTATATTGTATACATTTTAGAATAAAATCGTGCTTCATATATATTTATACTATCAACCTATAACAACATAAATATTTTGCAATCTTAAATTATTTTACAGTCTTAAGGAGAAACAAATCGTGTTTGTTCAAATTTTCGAAAATTTTGTCATCTACAATGTCATCATGAAACAGTGCTTGATTTAAACCGTGTTTCAATCGATAATTCCAATGTATGATTAAATGTAATAAATCTATCATTAGGTATGGCATTTCTTTCGAAGACGATTATTCTGCCTGCACATTGATCGATTACTAAATGATGTATTATCATACAATATTGTTTCTCGGTCGTAGGTAGTACCTACGATACGCTCGTTGTGTTAGTCAAATCCTTATTTAGTACGATGATGTCATTTGAGAAGGACGTGCATGCAACATCTTCGGTGAACAAGGTGTGTACCCTTCACCGTCGATTGTCTCTCTCTTGTTATTTTCGCGGTAGAGCTTAACTTCAATACTTTTTATGCAACTAAAGATTAATATCGTTCTTTTCTTTTCACAACCTCAATTTTAAATCCCGACTTAAAATCATTCGCGAAAAGATCGACTCATAAAATGCGATACGACGGGACAAAACGATCGGATTTAATATCACTTTTACTCGAGAACTGTTACTAATTTTAGTCTCGTAAAAAATAAATTCATCAACATGAATTGCGAGAAATGAATTTCTCTGCAATTATGACTGTCTAACCTAAGTAGTACATAGATTGGTTTTACCTATTCGATTACTTTCTATTTCTTGCTAGCTACTTGCAACGTACTAATGCTATATAACGATGCAATAAAATATTGAATGTGAAGTGAAAAGGAATTTAATAGTCATAAAGCCGAGTCCCAGGTTCAAAGATTAGAAATTCACGAATTTTACATCATTATCTTTCAACTTCTCGTCTTCTTCAAAATAACTAGTATAGCAAAATAGACCAAGTTTTTCTTTTGTTTTGTTTAAAAAAAGTATCAAAATTTTGTTAAGAAAAATATCAAACCGTCCTTTAATAAAAATCTAATGTAATTTGATAACAGGTTATTAAAATATTGTTTTATGGTCGTTTTTATTACGTTATTTGCAACTTTAAGATAGATTTACGATTATGAATAGATCTCACTCATAATTGTAACATCACAGGCGCATCATCGAGACAACGGCGCATCCCGTACATAACACAATATTTTTTTGTGCGGTAAAACATATCCTCTCGAGGAAACGTCAAGGCGAAAAGATGTGGTTTGTGCAACGTATGCTGGACCGTAGTGCGCGCGGGACCGAGAATGTTACGAGAAACGCACGCGCTCGCACCGATCAGTGACGCACAGATCTCGATCAGTTTACTCCGGTCCGCTCAAAATTATCGCGCTGGAGAACGGACAGTTAACCGGTTCATTTCATGCATGTACTTCGTCGTCCACGCGAGCAATGATTTTTCCTGATATCGATTCTTGGATTTGCCAATTCCTTTCCTCGTGGAAACGCACTGGCTATACATAAAACTGGATCGCAATATATCAATTGTTTGCTCGGCTTTTGGCGAATTGATTCACCATCTCTGGCCTATACGGTGCGTCTCTCCTCGTCTCGTGATTGTTTGTACGTGTTTCACGCACTTGTAGAGCAACTTAAAGAGCACTCACGACGATCGACGATCGATCTCGACAGCGACGATGTCCCGCAGACTAGCGGCATCATATATCGCATACAACCGATCGTAGCGCAAAATCGAGACACAATCGAAGCGAAATGTCCATCGATCCGTCCCGTTCGTATCGCGTTTCTCTCACTGAGTGCGTGTTCGCTCGTTCACTCATTCACTTCCCGGCTGGAATGGTTAATACTCCCGAGCGAAAGGCGCATTCATCGTAGCGTGCGCTTTTCCACCACGCTTCTGCGACGCCTTTAAAAGGCGAGCTCAGGTGTAGCGCGAGTTGTCCTTCTTACGACCGCCCGCGATTCTTTATCTGTTCTATCTATATCGTGGTATTCTTCGCCTACTTTTTGTACGAATTCGATATAATCGAGCTAACTTCTTTTTAAACTACTTTTAACTAACTTCTAACGTATATACTCTAGTTTCAAATAAAACTCTAACTTCTAATAAATTTTAGTTTTTGTATTTTATACAAAAGAATCATTGAACATTTTTATCTTATATATCCTAAGTAGCAAGATATTAAATGACGTCTTAATAACATTTTAATGACATCTCTAATGTCAATAAAGTATCATTAAAACGTCATTTAACATCTCTTTGCTACTTGGGTATACTTATGCTTGTAAAAGAAGATTCCTTCTAGTTTTATTTATATAGAAGCAATTACAGAAAAGTTAAAGAAAATAATTGAATAGAATATCCTTGCACAGATTATCTGTCATATATTAAAGACATCAAGATATTTTTTGTTATATGAAAGATTTTGATTGTAATAATGTCCTTCTAAAATTAAACGATTTGTAGAATAAAAAAAACTTATATAAAATGATGAGGTTGTAAAATTTAGTTTCAGAAATCTGTTATATCTACATACTAGAAATAACTATAGATTTTTTAAAATATGAGATAATAAAATTTTCAGATTTTTTTTTATAATTACTTTGCGTATATTTAATTGAATTTCCATAAGAATCAATGGAAAATTAAAAAAAATGTCTTATATAAAAATTTAATACCTATTAAATGAGATTCACAAGCCATTTGTATTTTTATATTTCTGATACGCATGCGCGAAATATCACTAATGAAGAACTACGCGCCAAACTAAAACTTTGTGATCTAAATGTTTTGATAACGTGCTGTTAGTAAACATTATCTACTTTCCATAATTTTTAGATCGTTATACACGTTTTCTACAACATTTAGCATTAATGGAGGGTTTATGATGTCTCAGCACGGAGCTGCTCTACAAACTTATAACCAAGAGCTTGTTAAATGTAAAGTATCATTTAACCTAAAAATTAATGTAGATAAATCTTAAAATAATTAATATGGAATGTTATAATTCAATTTCTTTATAGATAGAATCAGTTTTTTTACGTTTCGATTGATTAATTTCTAATTAAACTAGTTTAATGTAGTTATGTATTGTATCTGTAACAAATTTCCTATAGGCTTAGAAGAAATGAAATTGAGGCGAACAGAGCTCCAAGCTCAGATAGAATCCCAAGAAGAAGAAAAAAATAATTTACAACGTGAAATTGAGAAAATGTCATGTAAGCTTACACTTTTGAATGACAGCCTAGCAAAGAGAATTGCGGTTAAAAATGAATTTGACAGAACAATAGCAGATACTGAAACGGCATACATGAAGGTATACAAATTGTATTTTCATAATTTAGTAAATTAATGTAACTATATTTAGTAAATTAATTTAACTATAATAAATTAATGTAACTTTTATAAAATAATATTTTTTTCTTACAAATTCTATTTCCTCTTTAGATTTTAGAGAGTTCACAATTATTACTTAATATGATAAAAAAAGAAGCTGTCAGCTTGGATCAGACTTTAATCAAAGCAAATATTGATAAGCAGCAGTATCGACAATAAGATAAATTGTACTTTGTAGATACAATTGTATCTTGGTAAACAAACATGATAAATAACAGGAATTGAATTGTTAATAGAAATTATCATAAGAATATTATCATTAACCAGTATGAAATTATGTATACAGACTTTTAACATTATTAGTTATTCTATATTTAAATGATTTTATATTATTTTATACTAAATTCAAATTTGTATTATTTTATATTAAACTCAAATTAATTACTCTAAAATTAAATTACTTTGTGATCCTAATAAAATTTGTCTGAATTACTAATGTATCGTTTATTTATATTCAATATATATTTTGATATAAATATAAATATTTTAATATTGAATTTTTAATTATATTAATAATACATAATACATTTAACATTACAAATAAAATTTTTATTATAAAACATGTACATGTACATATAAATAAGACTGATTATATAGCATGAAATCTATTCTAAAAACGAAAAGATCAAGTATGTTTTATATAAATAATAAAATTGTTTTCATACCAATAATATGTCAATAATATTGTAGTATATCATTACATTTCTTTAAAATATATTTATATATTACAAAATAGCAATAATAATGCTTGTATTGAATAGTAATATTGGCAACAGTATATATTACGATATTTAATTTTTTGTTATTTCTGAAGAGAATGTATTGGTATCATGAATGTGGAATATATCATATATTTTTATTACATCATAAATATTCTTACATGCTGATATTTATAAATTTAAGCATTTCCAAGAGCTTTTTGTTCATTCCATACTTGTAGGAGTTCATTTGGATCTCCATAGCCATGAGATGCTACAACATATTTATAATTATATTTTGTATATTCTCTTTTATAAAAGTGAAAATCTTCGCAATGAAATGGTTCTATTTCAGCTTTTTTTGCTATTAGACCTAGAAAAATATCATCAAATTTAAAGTGTTTAGTGTAAAAACTAGTGTAATACATGTCCAAGAGAGCTTCCTTAGACAGGATATATGCACCAGCTGTGACATATGGTGGCCATAAATGGTATGGGTATTCCTTTAATGAGACATACCATTTAGAGGATTTATATCGGTGTGGCGAGGATACAAATACAAATCCTGCAAACAGCCTAACATCGTCTGGGAGTTCGAAATCAAAAAGTTGTCGTTTTGTTCTATTTAATATAAATATGTTTGATTTAAGCAACTGTTTACTCTTTATTCTAAGATTTTCATTAATTTGTTTACTATGTCCTTTATGTATGTTATTTCTAAAATAATTTTCTGCTGACTCATTAGTGGTAAAACTATGCATAAATAATTTTGCACTAATTGCTGCATCATGTATTCCACTACTGTTATTAAAATTGCTAATGCCCTTTTGAAAACTTATCAAATCAGTAAGCTTAATCTCTCTTTTGTGTGCAGCTAATTTCTTAGGTTCTTTAAAGTAACCTGGGTATTTATCTGGATTTCTAACAAATCTTAATACATTTTTTACTGATATATACATATCATCATCACAAAACATATAAAACTTTGAATTTGAACAATATTTTACTATCCACTTAAAACCCATCATTGTTTTTATAGTATTGTTGTAGTACGAATCTATAAAATCTGCTTGTATAATATCCTTATATTTTGCTGCTTCTATTTTTAGTTTTGCTTGCATTTCTTCATCATTTGGATGCATGCCTACTAAGAAAATAGTTCTCAATGGCACATCAAAGAATCTCTTTTCATATCCCCATGTTTTACGTATGACAGCTCTTCTTTCAAAATGTTCTAGAGCAGTCTTTACTATATACACAACATGGAATGTACTATAGCCAGCTTCTGTACATTTTTGTGGATTGTGTAGTATAAAAGAATATTTGTATTCATTTATAGGCTTAACATCAGGCTTTTCATGATGTCGCAATGCATTCACTAAATCATGTACATTGCCTTCATATGGATAAACAAAGTTCTCATCATATGTTATTTCAAATAGATGTGTGAACGCTCCAAGAAAGTCCAACAGTACAATTACACAGAAAAAGAGAAGCATATACTGTGGTCTAACTTTTAATATCAATAAAATTCTTTGAAAACAAGATCGAAGTAAACAGTACATTGTATCAGCAAGAGATCTACATATTTAGTACACATCTCCTTCCATAAGTTCTATCAATCCTGAAACAGAAATTTTTATTGGTAATCTTATATTTACTATCTGTTTGATCAGTATATTCCATAATTAAATTATAATTTATTATACTTGAACATGTAAGCTTTGAAACAAATTTTACAGAATTCAGAAATATGCCATACAATCTTTAAATTATATCTTTAAATTATAATATTTATATAAAATAAGCTTCAATTACACAATTTTCGTGATAATTATCTAGAATGAGTATCCTCACCGATTTCGCTGGAACTTTGTAGAATTGTGTATTTTGGTGCGTAGAACACGATTTTAAAACAAAGTGTCGCTCTTAAACGGATCAAAAGTTATAAAAATCTGAAAAATGACACATATGGGGTTAAGAAATTTGTCATGCCGATAATAACATGCAGACTAACTGAGAAACATGCGCAATGCGTTAAAGTGTAAAAAAGTATATAAAGCGGAGGAGGGGCACAGCTCACCCTTGCATCCCTCCCCAAGAAATCCTAATTTAACCCAACTTATTACATCTTTACATATTGTTGGGCATTGTTGAAAAGATTATCATTTTTAAAACCCACGCTCAATAATACATAATAAAGATGCAATAAGTTGGGTTAGGTTAAAATTTCTTTGAAGAAGGGATGTGGGGGAGGGGCGGAGTCCCTTCCTCGCTTGTACACTTCGCGACTAAGGCCCCTTGCACAATACCAAGCAACAAGCAATAAGAATAAAAATAAACCAATCACAATCGACTATTACAAGAATAATCTATTGTGATTGGTCTATTTTTTATTCTTATTGCCTGTTGACTGGCATTGTGCAAGGGGCTTAATAGACCATGAATCTCTATTATATTATCGGCATGACAGATTTTCTAATCCCATATGTCATTTTTCAGATTTTTATAACTTTTGATCCATTTAAGAGCGACATTTTTTTCTTTCAAAATCGCGTTCTACGCACTAAAATACACAATTCTACAAAGTTTTAGTAAATTCGGTGAGGATGTCCATATTCTAGATAATTACCATTTTCGTATACTTACTACATATTCATACATTATATTGTTAATCTTCGTACGAATAAAAAAAAGATGTATTTTGCACATTTATCATACCTTATTTAAATATATGAAAGAATGCATATGTATTAATGATAGATACTCCATTTTAAAAATATAAATAGATGAATGCAACATTGTTCACTTTTTCACTTAATATCATTGCAGAGGAACTTAAGGGCAAGAGCACAGACTTTTGCATAACACATAGTACATAACACATAAGAGAATAAACCAATTAGTTTTCTTCATTTCCCTCCTCAGGACAGAAATGAAGAACTCTGATTGGTTGATTCTCTTATGCGTTGTGTATTATGCGTTATGTAGAAGTTTGTGCTCTGGCTCTATCACTGCAGGTTGCGAGACAATCCGCTGTACTCCAGGCATTTGCATGATACAAACTATATATTTTCAGTACTGGCAGTGAATTTTGGAACACAGCCATAGTCGGATCTTAAGCCAGCAGCACACGGTGCTTATTTTCGTGCTGGATTGCTTGCTGGATGAAAATACTGCGTTCTGATTGGTACATTTCCATCCATCTTCGGAAATGTACCAATCACAATGCAATATTTTCATCCAGCAAGCAATCCAGCACGAAAACAAGCACCGTGTGACGCTGGCTTTATATTTAAGATCATTTTAAGTTCACTTTCAGATATCCCGTAGCCAATGAAGGAATTTGTACAGTATCTGAAGATAAACTTAAGACAATCTTAAATATAAGATCCGACTATGAATACTGGCCTAGGACATCTAGGGAAAGAAGAAGAAGAGAGAGAGAGGAAGATCGGCCTATAAAATTTTAGTTTATGGTTGGAGAATAAGATTGGTTAGATCAATTTATATATAAGTGTATGTGACTGTATGCGATCATTCTTTGATTTTTACACCGGTTTGTTAAGATTTGAGATAGTTACTTACGGAATAAACGATTGAACAATCTAAACAATATTTAAAGATCTATTTATTATTAGAATATTTCGTAAGAATAAAAGATACAGTGATTTAGAATCAATGTAGACTCTACACATATACTAAATGTGTACTAAATATTTATGTCGTTTATTTTTGATTTGACTGATCAGCGGCCATGTTAGTACTTTATATGTTTAAAATTATTCACTTGTAATGGTAATTGAAAGATAAATATTTATGTTTTATGTTCCAGTATATATTTAAAATGGTGTCAACAAGAGGTCCGAAATTCAAGTTTTGTGATGGAGAAAAAGTTTTGTGTTATGAACCAGATCCTACAAAGGCAAAAGTTCTGTATGATTCTAAGGTAATTTATACATTTTTAATTAAATATAATTTTGTAATAATATTTATAAAATATAGTTGGATTTTACAAATTCTAATAAAACTATGTAATTTTTTTTTAATATGGAAAAAATAGAGAAAGAAAATAATATAGTTGTAAATTTTTAAGATTTGTAGAATTAAAGAATAAGTTTATATAATATATTCTTTAAGTTCACATAAATATATTTAATATTTGGGGAGTTTGTATTATAAAAAGTAGACAATTATAAGATTATTTTTAGGTACTTGATGTTATTGTAAATAAAGACCAAAGAGGTAGAAAAGCTGTGGAATATCTTATACATTTTCAAGTGAGTTGGAAGAATTTAATCAAAGCCACTTAGCTATACAGGGAGTCCAGTAAATCATACTACAACTGATGAGGTGATTTCTCATGAAAGAACAAGTAAGAATATCAATTTTTTAATTGGTTTCATAATTTTTGAGGATAATAATTGTGAATATAAAAATATTCTACATCTGTTTCATCAATAAATTAGAAGGTTAGTTTGTTTTTCCTATTTTTTATATTTTATAAGGAATCACCTCGTAAAATGTACTAAGATTTATTGAATACCTTGTATAAGTTATATTAAAATTGGAAAATATAATATATGCTGAAAGATATATAAATATTTTATCATATTATCATATAAGGGTTGGAATTCATCTTGGGACCGCTGTGTGACAGAAGAATATGTGCTTAAAGATACAGAAGAAAATCGTCAACTTCAACGAGATTTAGCACAAAAAGCACAGTTACAATTGTATGTATTCTTAAGAATGGTTCAGTGTCATATGGAGCTTGTATAATTAATAAATTATAAATTGTTATACTATTTATTTGAATGAAATAGGGGTGCATATTTATACCGCCGTGAACGTAAAAAGCGAAGTCATAAAATGTCAGAACGTTTAATAGAAGCTGAACATCAAGAGCCTCGGCGTAGAGCAAGAAGTGGTGGCAGTCGTGCTACATCAGCTACCACTGGATCTTCAGAGGATGGTAGTTCAGGACAACATGCTGATTATGACACAGAGGTAAAAACTTCATCTTTTGTAGTATATTATTAAAATATCTATAGTAGTAATGTATAATAATTAAAACTCAGATAAGAAGTGTAATATAACATTCATTATTCATATTGAACTTGTTAAATCTTTGATAAATCTAAAAAAATATACTAATAAAAAATAATCATTATTTCCTATATTTGCATTATATTCTGCATTATATTCTGCATATAACAAATTTCTGCTGACTTCTGCTGAGTATAATTAATGAATACTTTGAGTATTAGTAATTTATTGTTAGCATGTATATCATTTTTTACTTCTAGCTATTGCCAATGAAATATTGGTACAATAGAGGGAATATGTATTTCAATATAGATGTTACATCTATTTGTTACGCATGTTTATAATAATCAATACATAATATTTGTTTATAAATAGATATACATGAAGGACATATAGATATATTATTATGACAATTAGTTATATCAGAAGGAAACTAATATGAGCAAGTTTTGCAAAAATTATAAAAATAGCTACAAACTATCAAACATGGAAATATATAATTCTATTCGAAAATTTATCCTATATTTTTATAATATAACATTAAAAAACTAATGTACATATGACAAAAATACAGGAAGCAAATACAGAAGAGGATACTGAGAGTAGTTCTGATTATATGGGTGAAACTAGTGATGATGAAGATAGTGGTGGAGGTAGTCAATCTGGAGCCAGTATGAAATCAATTGATCTTGATATAGGTCCTACATTAAAACGATTTTTAGAGCAGGATCATGATTTAATAATTAACAAGAACAAGGTAATTTTTATATATTAAAATATTTATAATTTTGAAGATAGACTAATATATTATTTTGAAACATATTTATAAGAGAAAATTTAAAACCAACAGTTGAATTTTACCTCTAATTCTTATTCGTCTTATCTGAACGAAATTAAAGAAAGATTTTCACACGTTTAATAATAGACTTTTAAATAACAGATAATTGTATAATATTTGCCTAATTGTAATAATTTCCCGAAAAATTCAAAATACAAATATAATTAACATGCTGCACACATTTCAGTTTGTTGTTCTTCCTGCACAACCTACTGTGGTGAATATTTTGGAATCTTGGGTACAACATTTTACCACAACACAATTGACAAATATCCCAGAAAAACCTCAACGAAATAAAGCATATAATACAATAGAAAAAGCAGTTAACGATGTAAATATATGTCGAGAAACTGCGGACGGCTTACGTATATATTTTGACTTTACGTTATCTCACCTCCTTCTATATAGACAAGAGAAAGAACAGTATAGTTCCTTAAAAGCTTCTTTGCTTTGTAATAACGTATCGGCACCAGTAATGGTTATAAAAGACGAATTATCTGAGTAAATATATTTTCTTGCATCAAATAAAAAATATTTCGTTAATAGGTAATTCGCTCCTTTTACTAATAAAAAATATTTATAATTTAAGAAATTCCGAAATTCTTGGAAAAGAAGAATTTGAAGATACAGAATATGCTCATCTACCACCATTTCAAGAACATGATACAGAAATGGATAATACAGTCAAGTCACTGAATAATTCTAAGCGAAAATTGCGATCATGCCGAGTAAGTTCTGTCGATGAAAGCCGTCAATTAAGATCTTATGATGAAGGGAAACAAGATGGTGGCAATCTATCGAGGTAACGTTCTAGTTGTCTTAAGAGATATTATAGAATTTCTGTAGATTGGATATTTTTAACAAATTTTTTAGGACTTTCTGATGATATTTTTTATACCTAAAACGTTAAATTAGTTGACACCAATTATGTTCTTTTTTTCTTAGATTTTTTTAGAATATGAAATTAGATATAATTTATGATTGTTTTGTTTTAGTAGCATAGCAAGTACAAGTTCCCGTTGTTCTAGCCCACGAGGTGTAACGCTAAGAATGCCGCTTATTACTTCTGGTCAAGTGAATGCTTTACTTCAACAGTCGAATAAATGGAGATTAATGCCTGAAATTTTAAATAGTGGGTGTATATTAGGTCCCTCTACTTACTATGGTGCTGTACATTTAACTAGATTATTTGGTAAGTTATTTAATAATATAAGTAGGTAAGTTATATAATAATTTGATAATTTTTTTTTACTTTATTTGATATACAGGATGAAGGAAAAAGATGGAAATCCTTAAAAATCTCGAAAGATATAAGTTTTACAGAAAAGTGTTTCAGACAAAAGTTATAAAGCTCGAAATGATGTATTTACTGATCTTATCAGTTTGACCTTGAGTGGTGTTGCTAAGGTCAGATCAAAGTTAACTTTTTTTTTTAACAGAAACCCCCATTTTTTATTATATCATCTTTTTCTAGCAATTAATTTGAACAACTTTTATCAACTTGAAACATCTTTTTATTTATTTAATGTTTTGAGATATTTAAGGAAAACTTGATGACTTTTTCAATACTTAACTTACAATATCTCGCTAACTATTTGTCAGAAGAAAAAATGGTACTAGACTTTTTTATTCTATTTGGGCTCAAGAACATATTGTTACAATAGTTCGCTAACTTTTGTTAACTTATTGATTTTAAAAAATTTCAAAATTATCAAATTAATGAAACTCAGGGTGCTATTGTAACAATATATTCTTGAAATGAAATAGAGTAAAAAAGTCTAATAGCATTTTTTCTGCCAATAAATAGTTGGCGAGATATCGTAAGTTAAATATTGAAATTTTGCGAGTTTTCCTTAAATATCTCAAAAAATATTAGGCAAATAAAAAAATGTTCCAGACAAAAGTTGTTCAAATTAATTGGTAGAAAAAGATGATATAATAAAAAATAGGGGTTTCTGTTTAAAAGAAAATAAGTTAACCTTGACTTGACCTTGATAATGCCACTCAAGGTCAAACTGATAAGATCAGTAAATACATCGTTTTAAGCCTTGTAATTTTTGTCTGAAACATTTTTCTGTAAAACTTATATCTTTCGAGATTTTTAAGGGTTTCCGTCTTTTTTCTTACCCTTATGCATTATATATACAAAATTATAAAGGCTTCTGAATGATGAAGTATTTCAATGTTTTTTAATTTTAGTGAAGTTACCTGAGTTGTTACAATCCACAGATATAACAAACAAGAAATTAAAAATACTTTTAAAATATTTAGATATGTTTCTCAGGTACGTGGTAAATTGTAATGAAATAATTAAATATTTTTCTTATAACATAGAATATTATTAATTAGTAAATGTTTACAGTTATTTGGAAATGCATAGAGAATGGTTTGGAGAACAATTCTACATGCAAGTAGAAGATCGAAATTTAACATCAATACAAATAAACAGCACAACGCAAATTAATAACTAACAATATATTTAACAACATTTATATAATTATATAACTGATCTTTTTCTCAATAAAATGATAATGTATATTTTTGTGATATGTAAGAACATGTATATTCGTAAGTAAGAATATTCTAAAATAATAAAAAAATTAACATTTTTTTATCAGTGTATATTTATTATATCTTTATACCTGTATCTTGTAAGAAAGAAATACTAATATCCTGTTTTTCTTTTTGTAATTACAAGATTATTGAAATTTTAAATTTAAAAATTCTGTAAGATCAAATGTGATTTACGTTTTTTAAATAGATATTGGTTCTTTCAAAACCGCAGATTGTGCAAATTATCTTATGTGAATTATTACTTTTGTATTTTTCATACTGTGTTACGTCTTTTAAATCATATTATTCATTTTACATTGATAACACAAAATCTGAATTATCTTTATAAAATATAGTAGCAAACAGCAATATCGACATTTTCATGATCAATAATTTAAGATAACTACAAAACGTCAATATGTCCTAATTGATTGAAAAATTGTTCAGACTCGAATTATTTTATCGTTTTGATTATTATATTAGACGTTTCACATGAGACTACGTACGGTTATACATATGTATAGTCTAGGATCATAATTTTTAAGATGGCGGCTCCCTTATTTGGTTTACGCGAAACAACATAATCAGATTAGTCGCTGCGTTTGATGCAGCGATATCGTGCGTGTTATCCACGCTCAGGAATATCATCTGTTAATTGTGACATATGGATAGAGCAATGTCGGAGCAAGTAGCTTCGCAAACTCAAACGGAAACTATCTCTGAAGCGGATGTCACCGATTCCGGGTCGCAGGTACGTATGTTTGTCGTAGCCCCTTTATTTTGTGATGTTCATTGCAATAAGCGTTTATACAGTGGAAGATTTATTTATTAATTACGTTTATATGCAGTAGGCTAAAACAAACTTATTAACATCCATACAAATACCATAGTCTACATACCTAGCATAAATCGATTTGATGGTTCTCGACATTATAACTGCTATTGTACAGTATAATTGTAACATGATTCATATATGATTGTGACATCAGTGATTACAATAGTGTAAATTATAAATTGGTTCGTGCTATTTGGGGCTATTTGTGTGAACGTGTCGTAGTCGGAATACTACTAAATTAGCTTTAATTGGCTGTTAGTAACGTGTTATAAATAATATATTGTAACTATATTCTTATCACTCTTCATAATTCGCTATTTCCGACACGCAAATCAAGGCAGCATACAAATATCTTTGACAATTATTAAAATATCGTACTTATCAGTCCATAATACCTTGACGATCTGATAAGATTGTTTATATCATTGTTCCTAACATCGTATAAGATATTCTCGACGATGCAAAACATATTCTCGATTTTCTCGCAAAGATATACAATAAATAAAAAATTCCTAATACACAAGCACAAACGGCTGTTTTGTAAAATCATCGAACATGATCATTCGCCGTTGAGCGGGATACGAGTTTTAGATTTAACACGAATTGTGGCTGGTCCCTACTGTACAATGATCCTAGGAGATCTTGGTGCAGAGATTTTGAAAATCGAACGACCCGGTAGTGGAGACGAAGCACGTAGATGGGGTCCACCGTTCTTCGAAGGCACGCGAGAATCCACATATTTCGCGAGTGTTAACAGAAATAAAAAGAGTGTGTGCATCGATCTGAAGAAAGGTAGAGATATTATCTATGAATTAGCACGAGAATGTGACGTCTTAGTCGAAAATTATGTACCAGGCAAATTGAATAGCATAGGTTTAGGATATGATGATATAGCCAAGGTGGCACCATGTCTTGTATATTGTTCATTAACTGGTTATGGTTCTCAAGGACCATATGCAAGTAGATCTGGTTATGATGTAATAGCAGCTTCGTTAGGAGGTCTTTTACACATTACTGGGCCCAAAGATGGGCCACCATGCAAAGTTGGTGTAGCAATGACAGATATGGCAACAGGGTTATATGCTCATGGAGCGATTATGGCAGCTCTATTACAAAGATCAAAGACCAATAGAGGCCAATGGATACAATGCAATCTTCTGTCAACTCAGATTGCAAGTATGATAAATATTGCTTCAAATTATTTAAATGGAGGCAAGGATGCGACAAGGCTGGGATCTGAACATGAAAGTATAGTTCCCTATGAAGCTTTTGCAACAAAAAATGGATATATGACAATAGGAGCAGGAAGTGATCTACAATTTATAGAATTAGTTCAAAGATTACAGTTATCAGAACTCGCTAGTGATAATAAATTTAAGAATAATACAGCTAGAGTCAAACATAGAATAGAATTGCTCCAAATTCTTAGAGACACGTTCAAGAAGAATACAAATCAAGAATGGTCTGTGATATTTGAAGGTGCTTCCTTTCCATATGGAACAGTAAATACTATAAAAGAGGTAAGTTAATAAATTTGAATTAATTTTAGACATATTACAGTTAATAAATTTGAATTAATTTTATTGCATTATTCAAAACAATTTCTATTGTTTTAAATTTGATACCTAATTACCAGGTATTTGATGACCCTCATGTTAAATATACAAATTTGATTCAAGAAGTGGATCATCCAATCATAGGCAAAATAAAGCTTGTTGGACCACCTGTTACATATAGTTATGCTACCAATATAATGAGATCGCCACCACCAATATTAGGACAACATACAGCAGAAGTTTTAAGAAACATATTAAAATATTCCAATGATAAAATAGAAAATTTAGTAGCACAGAAGATTGTGCAAGATAATTAATAAATATTATATATTTTTGTATAGTTTTACATTTTATTTTATAATGACAAATCTCTATATTTTGCATTAAACAGGTTTTGAAATTTTATAAATATTGCATTGATCTATAATCATTCCAAAAGATCTCGTTACGGAGATATCATGGGTCATATAACCTAATGACAAATATGGCGAAGAAAAGTACAACATATGATTAATCCCATTTATTGTTCAATTTATTATTCAATTGTTTATGTTATATGTATTATATCATGTATCATATATGTATTATATCATATATCATGTATTTAAGGTATAAATAATGTTTTTTATGGTTAATGTATAAATAAATAAAATAAATATGTAAAAAAACATTCCTTTGTTGTTATATATCATGAATAAAGAATAAATGTAGATAAGTAATATGCTTCAAGTAATAAACAAGTCCATTATGTTTTAAGGTTTTTATAATATTACATCTCTTACAGGATGTACCTACTGTACGATTACGTCTACGAAAACCAAAATCAAATAAGAAAGTTCAATGGAGTCAAGGAACTGTTGACAATGAACATTTGAATAAGAAAAAATCAAAATGTGAGTTTGTGTATAATATGTCTATATTATATTTATAATTATTGAATTTATTTAACAAAAAAATATTTGCATGTACTTTTATTAACAGGTTGTTGTATTTATGAAAAACCAAAAACTTTTGGTGAAAGCAGCTCTGAAGATAGCGATGATGAATGTGAACATTGTCATGGACATAAAGATGCTCATAAAAAAGTCTTACCTAAAGCTGGAGATAATACTCAGGCAGGAATGCCATCACATCCTGGTAAGATTGTCATTATAACTAAATATAATATTATTATTAAAAATATATTATTTTTAATTGACATTATATTATCTTTTTACAGAACCGATTGCTACAGGTTCAACATAAATATATGCTTATTGGCTTTATGTCCTATATGAGAAACAAATTTCTTTATACTATTTCTTGCATCTCAGTATCATGCAGAAAAGATATGATGAATTATAAGTAGGTAATTATAAATTTACACACAATAAAATTAAAAAAAATATTGAAATGTATGATACCAATTGAAATGCTGCACATATCGTTTTAGATGTGCAAACTCTTTATGATTCTGCACTAGTACATGCAGCACTTGTATTACAATGCTTCAGCAATGTCGTACGGAAAATTACAAAATGTCGTTTGTTAATTATATAGATTATATTAATTAATTATATAGATTATAACATCATAGGTATAGTAAATTATTGAATATAAATATAATCGAAATATTGTAATTAATAATATTATTGAATTTTTTTCTGAGAAGTAACAATTGCCACATTCCTTATATTTATAACTGAATCAATGTTATTTTTTTCACATGTACCATTTACTAATTACTAGATATAATGTGTTAAAAGTAAAAGTAAATATATATTATATGTTAACCTATGATATTTATTAATATTAATTTTAATTATATTTATACATTTTATCATTAAATCAAATTTCGAATTATTTTTCAACTCAAATTTAGAAACATCAAAATGTTATTTCTGTTCAAAAAATTTTTATATCGTGTGTATTATTTTATCATACAATGGTATTAATCTCAAAACAGAAGAAATGAAATATATTATGAACATAACGGGAAAAGGCAAAAAAATAATGCATATTTATATTTATTCATCTTTCCCTTCATTCAGCATAAGTACGCGAAATTTACAAATACTTCAAATATACATAAAAATATAATTGAATAAAAAAAAATCCAGTGTTAGATCATTCACGGACAACAGCATAGCCACACAAAACTTAATTCTCATTGCACACATTCATTGAGAATTTCAAATATATATTCATTGAGAATCCCAAATATACAAGGTTTGTCCCAATAATATCCAACCTCTGCGTATGTCTTTGTCCTTGGGCACCTTATTGTGGAAAACAGGTATTCAGTATTTAGGATGGAGTATCCCCACTAAGCGGCACAACCCAACAGCTGTTCAGTCGGCAACGGTACGCAGTTATATGAGCGTCGCATTTCATAATGACTAAACGTCATAAGTCAAGATCGTAGCTATAAACCCATGTTTCATCGCCAGTAACAACCCTTTTAAACAACTCAGGATCTTTGTTGATGGATTCTAGGATATTTTCGACAATTTTAACTCGAGAATTCTTTTGATCTTCCGTAAGCACTCGTAGAACGATTTTATAATCACGCGACGCTCGGTGTTTTTGACGTTCACACAACTGCGTACCATTGTCGATTGAACAGCTATTGGGTCGTGCCGCTTGATGGGGGTACTTCTAAAAGTCCACCCTAAATACTGAATACCTGTTTTCCACAATAGGATACCAAAGAACAAAGATATACGCAGAGGTCGGATACTTTTGGGATAGACCTCGTAGTTTTATCAGAAGATAAATTTCTGGATTTTTGTTATGATACAGGCTATATATGAATATAATTTTAAGCTATTTAAAAATAATTTGATTATATCATTTTCAAGTAAGTTTTAAAATTTTTTGTCAATTATTTTCTAATCTCTTGTTTGCTGTAACAATAGACATGACAACAATATATTCCTTCAAGATATATATTTTTAACAACATTCTTAGTAATTTTATTTAAATAATGCTTTCCTAGTGAGATTCTGTAGCATATTAAGAAACGAAAGTTTGCATGTGCACACATTTGCATAATATTAGATAATCAAAAATATATTCCGATTATTATTTGTGCCTTTACATAATGATAATATTCTAGATGATTCTGTATAGTACAAACTTAAGTGCAAGATAATTTTTAAGAGAATATCATTAGGATCTTATATAAGCAAACATTTATATTGGAAACTTGATAGTTTTTAGTCAGTCGATGTTACAACTGCTTTTCTGGAACCTACGTCTCTTTCGTACCTCTAACCCTCTGGGATAATTATATTCATCCAAACCTAAAGCTTTCACCATAGCGCGACTGCGCCATACTTTGACTGTATAGTCATCACTAGTTGTAACTAACATTTCTGGATCACGTGGGTTAAAAGCTACGGAATTGACAACATCATTATGGGGAAATTTTGCTAAGCAAACTCCATAATGTCTATCCCACAAATAACCATGTTTATCCTCTGCACCGCTGTAAACATATTTTTTTAATGTAAACATAGTGATTTGAAAATATTTTATGCCAATTAGAAGTAGAATTTTATACTGCGTTATAAATTGATTAATTGGATATAATCAGATTATTACCTTGCTACATATTCATTGCATACATCCAAAAATATAAAGAAACATTCATTATTAGGCGTATATGCCTTGTGTGCCCTTAACATAGTTCCGACTTGCTTCAACGTTACCAAATCGATTACGTGTATGTCAATTTCTTGAGCTATCGGCGGTGGTTGTAACGGATTAGTGATAACATAACCCGTTGGCCATGGTCTTGTATTTACATAGAGATATCTGTCAACGTTTTGCATAATTAGCTATAATACATTAGAAGTTATTCGCCTAATATTTTATATGTATTTTATCAATACCGACAACATTATGTATTTTATAACGTTAACTGACCTATGATCGGGTGAAAGTCCCATTCCAATAATATGGCCATGAAGATCGATCAGATGGTCTACTTTATCAAATCTATCCGCCACCGATTCGTAATCCAACCAATTAGTGTCTAATGATGCAGTATTGCGTCTCTCCCGTTCCCTTTCTCGCTGAGCTATTCTCTCGCGTAGCGATGGTCCCGGATCCAATCTTCTCGGAAAACTAACTAATTTAATTCTCTTAAAACCAACTTTATGGGGAGTATACGTCTTTGAGCCAGTCGTGAAAATAAGAAACTTTTCAGGGTTGTTTGCCAATTCGTCTGTGTCACATTCCTCAGTTACTGATGATTCTGTAAATCCGCGCATTTTCTATCGCATCCTTGTGTACATATGTACTGTGCATATATGTGGTTGTGTATACACACACACGCACACATACAACAATCGTAACTTATTTGGTTGATACAATTTTTTTTTACCACTGCATTTTGTCTATGACTTTCCTACCTCCAGACTCACTCTCTTCTTCCCATTGTGGATTTTCACTTTCGCTATCGCTTTCATGCGTCTTCTTCTCCATCTCAACCTGCCTATATTCTTGGTTGTACTGTATAGGACTAGCATAGTCAAAACCATCACCAAGTTTTCTCCAATTCATAAATCCACCTTCTAATGTACTATATCTATTGTATATGTATATTTTATGATGTTAATGATTAATGTAAATGTGTGAATATTGTTATGTATAAAGAAAAAATTCATACTGCAATCTCGATGAAGCATGGTGTAGCACTACTGGTTCTTCCTGTTGTTGAGAGCTATTACTTGGTGACAATAGATCTTTATGACTTGGAGGATTTCCTTTTTCCTCTTTCATATTTGAAGATGATGGTTGGTTTTGTTGTTCCATAGATTCAGTTAGTGTAGGTGCTAAACAATTTGCAACCATAATAGCTCTAATTGAGGAAGCATTTTCATTGTAGAATCTGGAAATCATAATTATGCAAAAATAGATACTTCACTTAAGAGAAGGCAATTACTCATATATAATTAGAAATTTTATCAAAGATTGACTAGGAAATGATAGCAAATTGTCATATTACCTAAAAAGCTGTGTCATAATGGGTACATGTTCACTAGCTGATTCCTGATTTGCCTTATTGAGCCAAAGTACACTTGTACTGACCAAGTGCGCCAACCAATGCAAATTTCCACTCAAAAGGTAACGTTCACTGTACCATGTACCAAATATGTCATATGGCTTATTCACTACTCTACATTGGAGGTCAAAGCCAGCTGCAAATAAATAGAAAACATATATAAGCATCTAATCACAGAAGATTTAAAAATTCTTTTTTAAAACCTTCCTTATTAAATTAAGTATTTTTTTATCATTTATCAGCTTATATCGCATGAACTTCTTTATTTATAATATACATGAATGCTTGATTTCTTGCTTGTTACTTACGCGCTACTCTAAACACTGCTATCTCTCCTGAAGTACTATGAGGTGTACCAAAATGGACACCAGACACAAGAAGTAAAGTATCTGTACAATTAAATTGAGAAAATTGTGTATACTTCCAACTAAATGTCTTCATGTCATGTAAGTATTTTATAGTAACAGGATGTTGACTTTGCCATACCTAAAATATTAGTGTGCATGATATCTTGTATAATCTGTGCACAAAATGTAAAGATGGCTAATAATAAAAAGATATAACTTACAAAGATATATCCATCTTTTGAACAAGTAGCAAACATTTTGCCATTATGAGAGAAGCTCACATGTAATACTTGATGCGAATGCTCCTTGAGAACTTCAGTTTCTATTAATGGAGTATGATATGCCAAACGTTTAAATTCTCCTAACCAAGACATTTTTCCTACAAAGAACAATAATATTCCTAACTCAATTGAGAAATATAAACACAAAACAAAATATCAATATAAATATAAGTATATGTAAGCAAATAAATTAAAACAGATTAATCAATTAAAATAGATATTTCTGTACTTAGCATTTTTGGAATACTATATTTCAAAATATACAAAACATGGATTATTGATTTGAAGCAATCAAATCTTGAATTTTATTAAGTACTTAAATTCACTGTTTCTTAACCAATTGAAATTTTATTTGCTTCTTTTATTAATATTATTTCTCGAATTTTCTTATCATGTATGCGTGGGTACATACATAAATATACACACATATAATTATTTATTAAACTGAATAGAGCAGTTTTGCCTAGAATTTAAAATAATTTCTAGAATCAAATCACAATAATAAATTTACTATATTCACCAATGATAAATTTATTGTGTAATAGTTTACTATGTTATTTTCAATCATATAAAAATACAGTTACGTCAAAATGCAATAAATATATGATGAAACATACCTGGCATGATGCCGACATCCGAGTCTATTTTGTATGTCTGATAAAATAAATCTTTCCACAGGAATTCATCGTGCGATACCCTGTGCCACGATCTGCATACCTCTCCTGCAGTCATCAGCTCCTTTGGCGTTAGGTATTGGAAGATATTCAGCAGAATCGAGTCCGGCATGTAATACCAGTTATTATCATCTTCGCTTTGTTGCGACAAGCATTCACTGATGTTGTCTGACTCGCTGACATCTTCATCGGTTACCTGACGGTCATCTGAAGTATTCTCAACGCCGTCCATCGTTGAAATGCGGCAGTTTATTTACTGAAACAGCTGATACCTGTCAGCGACACTGCTGGCAATAGCCTTTGCCGAGGATACACGAACTCGACCGAGGTTAGGATTGGGTAGAATTGCGCGCAGTCCTCTCCATTGAGTACGTTATGGCTATTGGCTTTCTGATTATGACGTATATTTTAGATATATATACACTAAAAAAGAAACTGAGTGATATAACATAATGCGATTAAAAATAGACTTTATGTGCAAGAACTATAAGATAATTTGAAATATGCACAAATCACATACAAAACGGGTAAATAGATTATTAAATGATTACATAAGTTTGTCGGATATACCGATTAATTATTAAGTAAAAAATGTCTAAAATTTAATTCGTCAGTTCTAGGTATAGGTCGGTTCTAAAAGGAAAACAAAGTGGTTTCCAGTGTATCTTTTTTACAAATATTAGTAACAAGTTTAGTTGTAAAATTTGAGAATCACTGCTCAAGGACTTCCGCAAGCGGGGAGGGAATGCGGGAGCAGTTCCCCTGACTCCCCCCACCACGGTCCGAATGGTAGAAATCCCTCAGGGGTTTAGTCAGTAAAGCCAGCGGTGTTTGTTTTCGTGCTGGATTGCTTGCTGGATGAAAATACTGCGTTCTGATTGGTATATTTTCGAAAATGGATGGAAATGCACCAATCAGAATGCAATATTTTCATCCAGCAAGCAATTTAGCACGAAAACAAGTACCGTGTGCCGCTGGCTTAAGAGTCTGACATAACCCCCAACCCCCCAACGGGTCGGGGGTATCCATGATGGATTTCCCCTGCGTTACCAAAAAAAAAAAGGGACTTCCGCAAGAGAGAGAGAAAGATAAAAAAAGAGAGAGACCCGTGATTATGGACATAGGGCCAGAGCACAGACTTCTGCATAACGCATAATACACAACGCATAAGAGAATCAACCAATCAGAATTCTTCATTTCTGTCCTGAGGAGGGAAATGAAGAAAACTAATTGGTTTATGTGTTATGCAGAAGTCTGTGCTTTGGCCCATAGGCTGCGTGCCAATATTTGATCTGTTCTTTGTAGCTGCACTGCTGAACTGGTATAATAAACAAGAACGAGAAAACCTATATTTGTCTCACTTTAACTTATCGCACCAGTTCAACAGTGCAGTTACAAAGAACAAACCAATTCATTAAAAATACTGAAAATACATATGGTCTGTTCTTTGTAGCTGCACTGCTGAACTGGTGCAATAAGCTAGAGTGAGAAAACCTATATTTATCTCACTTTAACTTATTATACCAGTTCAACAGTGCAGCTGCAAAGAACAAACCAATAATTTGTGTCACGTATAGATTTTCAGTGCTGACTGAATATCGGAACGCAGCCATAGTAGTAGCAGAGAGGAACGTGAGAGCGGCCAACACAGCGTTTTCGACGACACCGACTTTCTGCATTAGAGTCCCTATGGTAAGAGTCTGGCCAATGTTCTAGTTGGATACAAAATGGCTACTATACCTGTACTGCACCTACTGTAATCTCGGTTTTTACGCGTGCACATGCAAGTGATAACATAACATCATTTCATCTTGGAAAAAACTTCCAACACAATAAGAAGACTATATATAAAAATATTTATAAAAATATTTTAAAAATGACTAGTTGTTGCATACCGGGACGCAGAAATAGAAGCGAAAATGGCTTCTATATGAAACGTTTTCCAATAAGTAAAAAACAAAAAATTATATAGTTGAAACAAATTGGAAGAGAAAACTGGAAACCGAAACAATATTCAGCAATTTGTGAGGTAAGCATGTAATTATATCAAATAATAAACAAAATATGTTCCTCATCTAATTGTATTTGTAGGTTCATCTTACTAAAGAAATGTGGGAAAAACCGCGACAGGATGGTTCCAAAAAATTAAAAGCACAAGCAGTGCCAACAAGTTTTCCTCATACAAAAGTAATGTCGGAATCTTTCGATGGAAAAATAAAGAAGTTAAAATATGATAAAAACAACGATGAAAATAATTAAATTATTATTAATAAATATTATTAAAATGTTATCGCGTAAAAATATTATTTTTTGTTAACGATACGACGTTTAATTATTTCTTAGAAATGAATTATGTAATTGTACATTATTTGCCTTATATTAAGCAAAGCAATTATAATATTGTTAATTTCCTTATTGAAAAAATGAAAGATATTGAATGTACTGCATTAAAAATATGTCACAATTTATCCCACAAAATTAAAATTCGTTTCATTAATTTTAAAATAAGAAAAAGTTGTCACATTGGAAAATTAGAAAAACCTGTTTTTAATAGTAAAACCATGGCTATGCATTTCGTTATTAGATAAAATTTAATAATCATGTTATTACATATGTAATATTTTTTTAACTTTATGTAATATCAAAATTTAATAATAAAAAAATTGCAAAAATGTATTTTAATTTTCCTTTTCCTGTTACTGCTATTCAGATATCCCGCATACTTTGCTATCACTAATTGGTGGCACCATTTCGTATCCAGCCAATAAAAAATTGGACCACATTGGCCAGACTCTTAAACCAGTGGCACACGGTGCTTGTTTTCGTGCTGGATTGCTTGCTGGATGAAAATACTGCGTTCTGATTGGTACTTTTCCGAAGATGGATGGAAATGCACCAATCAGAACGCAGTATTTTCATCCAGCAAGCAATCCAGCACGAAAACAAGCACCGTGTGCCGTTGGCTTTACTATAGGAACTCTATTCTGCACTGGGAAAAGGCGCCATCTGCATCCATTTTGAGAGAGGAACTACGATACTACATTCACTTTCAGATTTCGGCGGTAAAACCTACATATGGTGGCAGTCCATGCTACATCCACTTTCAGGCGGTTTATGTTCGTGCTACAACCATAATAGCGTACTTGACAAGCATGGTACCGCACATTGTTATGCGTTTATATAACACTAGCACACTACAAGCGCGTGTTACGTGCGCGCCATTTTAGTTTATTCATATTAAAGTTTAGAATAAATATTATAAATCATAAAAATAATCCCTGTAGTGTAATAAAAATTTAATAATATTCGACTCTAACATACGATGTATTAGGCGTATACAATTCCATAAGAAATTCCATGATATATTTTCTGCATAGTAACGCGTAACCATATAACTAATGAATTTCGACGTTTAACATTTCTATTCCAGACCATCTTAAGTTTATCTTTAGATGCTATATGCATCGTTCTATTGGCTAAAAAGCATTTGAAGATGAATTCAAGACGGTCCTGAATATAGAAGCTAACTCCCCTTTTCCTCCCCCTCACTCTCCCCTCCCACTTCCCATACTCCTCTCATCCTATCACTTTCCCTCCCTCCCACACTCCATCACTCTATCACTTTCCCTTACTCTTTCTCTTTCCCTCACTCTTTCTTTCTCTTTAACTCTCATCCTCCCTCTCTCTCTCTCTCTCTCTCTCTCTCTCTCTCTCTCTCTCGCTCTCTCTCTCCCTGCCTCTCCTTGTCCCTCCCTGTCACTACCTGTCTCTCCCTACCTTCATCTCACTCTCTTTTTCTCTCTCTCTCTCCCTCTCCCCCTCCCCCTCCCTCCCCCTCCCCTCCCCTTCTCTCTCTCTCTCTTCATCCGCTTCGATATATTCGAGATCGAGGTTTCACGCACCTTTTTTTTTTTAAAGAAATCCCCTGATACAAAAACTGTTAAAAAAAAAGGGATGCATTAACATGTTAACATATGTAAAAAAGAAAGAATTGACATTATATATGATTAATATGAAGATCATACGAAGTGTCTGGTAATTAGCTGCCAACCTGAAAGGTGTAAGGGTAGATTGGGTTGAGACAAACATAAAAGTCCCATATTTTGCGAGATTTATAATAATTATCCAGTTATTAATGACAGAAATCTGAGGAGTAGGAGCGCGCCGACATAGATAATTGGTGAAGCGTTGCAGCTGCTCAGGGTAGCGATCATTAATCTTTTTCCTAACGTGAACTAGTGAAAAGTGAAAGACTTCTGTGAATTAGTGAAAAATGAAAAATTTTATATGAATTTGTGAAAATCAGAACATTTCACACGACAATTGAGTTCAAAGACAATCGTTCAACATGACAGTTGCGTTCTGGATAATTCTTAATGAATATCAAAGAAATCAAAATGATCAAAATAATAATGTCCGTATAATCTGAAGGATATTACGTGACACGCAAAATTCGTTTGATATAATATCCAAAGAAAATGTTTCAAAATATGTATGTACAGATAATATAAATCTTAGTCATCGACGAGATACCATAAAGACTGATGGCCTTACGGGATTTAGCGTATCAGAAAAATTTCCCTGATGAGGCACCCGGGCGAAAGAGACGGGGCGTAGGCGATAGAATGACGGCTAACGAGAAATATAATCTAATCGAAAATTTCAAGGTAGCACTCGCTAAATAATCCCGTTATGTCGTCGCTGCAAATTCGAGTGTGTTGTTTTCACACGCGTGAGCGTGTAATTAGCTCAAGCTTTCTTCATACGATTCTTGCGAGATGTGAAACGACAAAACTCGCCCTTGAAAAAAGCCTCAGCTAATCGCACGCTCGTATGCGTATAAATAATACATTTGGATTTGCATCTCGAATCTTTCGAAAAAAATCCATACTCGTCCTTCAGGTTCTTACAGAGAATGTCTAAAAGCTTCTCTCAAACAAGCAGTATCTGACCTTGAAATTTTCGTGGATCCCAAAACTTGTAAAGATGGCGCAAGATGGAGGAACGAGAATAGTTTCCTTCCCGGTATTTCATTCCAAGATGGTACGTGCGCTGAGTATTCTCCACATGTAACATTTTTCGTAGGCACGTCTCGGGACATTTTTTATCAAGCACGAGTGACGAACTTGCGCAAAAGAGCTGGAAAACTTTACGAAACGTATCGCTCCGAGGACAAAAATTATCCGCGGATGACATTTTTCCCATACTTATCCGCAAAAGTGATCGTAATGCGGATTAAACAACCGCGGGAGCAGCTGCGGAAGGAAAATCTATGCGGTTTTTACGACCTCACCGGCAGCAGGCTCTGATTTCTTCTCGTCTTTATCACTGACGAAAGAAGCGCCCCCATTTTAAAGAGCGATTATAAAATGCGCGACTACTTTGTCACGCTTATATCATCAACTCCCGCTTCAATCTCCCACTTTCGATAGAGTCTCAACGCATGATCAAGCGTGTGTTATGAAGATTCACTTTCAACGAAGAAAATAGTCGGGGGACGTTCGCAGCCGCGGTGGAATTTAACGCTCACGTTCGCAAGGGCTTAACATTCTACTTGCGAAGGGACGCCATCGCCCCTCTTTTTACAACGGTGTGGATGTTTAACTCCTTTATTCCTTATTTTTCGCGACAACGATACCGCGACGATGCCCTAATGAGGCAAGTTCGTCTATAACCAGCGTTTCTGTATCTTGAGCTGTTTAGGAGATATCGAAGATTAAAGTTTTCCAAATTGTACCGTTAATATTTTCGCTTCTACTGGGAATTGAGAGTCGAAATTTATGGTGAGAATAGGGTTGATACAGAACTATATTGTGGCATAAAAACGGGCCTGTATCTTTAGCCGTTTAGGAGATATCGAAGGTTAAAGTTTTCCAACTTGTACCGTTAATATCTCCGCTTCTACTGGGAATTGAGAGTCGAAATTTATGGTGAGAATAGGGTTGATACAGGACTATATTGTGGCGGAAAAACGTGCCTGTATCTCGATCCGTTTAGGAGATATCGAAGGTTAAAGTTTTCCAACTTATACCGTTAATATCTCCGCTTCTACTGGGAATTGAGAGTCGAAATTTATGATGAAAATTGGGTTGATACAGGACTATATTGTTGCAAAAAAACAAGCCTGTATCTCTAGCCGTTTAGGAGATATCGAAGGTTAAAGTTTTCCAACTTGTTCCGTTAATATCTGCGCTTCTACTGGAAATTGAGAGTTGAAATTTATGATGAGTATAGGGTTGATACAGGACTATATTGTGGCAGAAAAACGTGCTTGTGTCTTGAGCCGTTTAGGAGATATCGAAGGTTAACATTTTTCAACTTGTACCGTTAATACCTGCGCTTTTACTGGGAATTGAATGTCGAGATTTAGGGTGAAAATAGGGTTGATACTATATTGTACTATATTGTAGCAAAAGCGCGTTCCTATATCTTGAGCCGTTTAGGAGATATCGAAGATTAAAATTTTTAACTTGTACTGTTAATATCTCCGTTTCTATTGTGAATTGAGGCTCGAGCTTTATGGTCAAAATAGGGTTGATATAGGACTATATTGCAAAAGAGCGTTCCTGTATCTTGAGCCGTTTAGGAGATATCGAAAGTTAAATTTGCTGTCGATCAAGTTCGCTTATAACTAGCATTTATTTCAAGAGCGCTTCTCGGGAACATTCCGTTCGAAGGGTTAGTCCGCGATAGAAAGATTCTTGCGACCGGAGATCGCTGTTGTTTATAGTTAAATTGCAGCAACAGTATTGTTATCGGGCAACCCTGAGACGGACTGCTAGCATCCATCTGTGACATCTGCCGCGCCTTTGCGATTACCGGTAAATTCAGTTTTCTTGGTTGCTCGCGTGATTTCGAGTGGCCATAATATATGGCGAAAATACATGGCAATATATGGGAATAATATATGGTAATAATATACGGCAACAATATATGGCAACAATATGTGGCAACAATATGTGGCAACAATATATGGCAATAATATATGGCAATAATTCATGGAATATATTTTTCGTTACAAGAGTCAATGCAAATTTGCGGCATGCACAATGTAATAATAAAAGTAATAATAAAGTAATAATAAAAGGGCTTTCTGCGAGCATTAAATCAGACACTCACCAATGATGATATTGATGATACCCTGTTGCGTCCAACCAGATCCACCAATGTCCGCCCATGTCCGCTGCCGCTCTTCATGTCGCGCAACATCCATCTTGCAGCGCGTCCCACGTTGATTG